TCCTGGTCCCTGAAGTATTCAGCCACTGTCAACCCCGTCAGAGCCACTCTGGCGCGAGCGCCCGGGGGTTCGTTCATCTGCCCGTAGACCAGGGCGACCTGTGGGCAGGACCCAGGTGTCGGCACCGCACCGCTCTGCAGCCTGCGCCCCCCGCGCTGCCAGGACCCCACCCGGCCCCCTCAGGAGATCTAACACACCTTGGAAGTGGCGTCTTTCAGATTGATGACCCCAGACTCGATCATCTCATGGTACAAGTCGTTGCCCTCGCGGGTTCGCTCCCCCACGCCGGCAAACACCGAGTAACCACCGTGGGCTTTTGCCACGTTATTGATCAGCTCCATGATCAGCACCGTCTTGCCAACGCCAGCACCTCCAAACAAACCTGGAAGGGGATGGGAATCCTGCTTAACCCCAAACCAAACTGGCTGCCCCCAGCGTCTCCCTTCGCCCCTTTCCTCCTCAGATCAATAAACGTTGCTTCAGCAAGCTCAGAAGAACGAAAGTCAAATGGTTACTCATCAGCGAAGGAAACTACTGCAGAGAGATCGGTCCTGAGCCTTGGCGGGGCACAGTGCGAGCCCCCAGAAATGGCTCAGCGGGGCTGGCAGGGTGCCCCCTTCCCCAGAGACCCCCCCGTTCCTCTGGGGGCAACGTACCGATCTTGCCGCCCTTGGCGTAGGGAGCCAGCAGGTCCACCACCTTGATCCCTGTCACCAGGATCTCCTGTTCAACGCTCATCTCCACAAACTCAGGGGCTTCAGCGTGGATAGCAGCAAACCTGCAGCAAGAGGTGGAGAGAGGAACTGAGCAGCCAAACCGAGCCCCTCGGCCAGGGTGCTGGCATGACACCGCGCAAATGCAGTCCCTACTCACAACCCAGGAGAACACCAGTGCAGCAGGGACGTGCCGCATCCCTGTTCACACACGTCTGCTACTCTAGACCCTGTGCCCCCACCTCCAAACCCTGCACGACACTCATCTCCCAGCCTGGGGTGTCACTCACTGTTTCGTCGTGATGGGGCCCCTCTCGTCAATGGGTTCCCCGATGACGTTCATGATCCTGCCCAGGGTCTCGGGGCCGACAGGGATGCGGATGGGCGCGCCGGAGTCCAGCACCTTCTGTCCTCTCACCAGGCCTTCTGTCCCATCCATGGCAATCGTGCGCACTGTGTTCTCCCCTGCCAAGGCCCAAGGACAGTGTCACAGCTGAGCTGACCCTGGGGACAGCTGCTGGTGGCTTCCCCAGGCCCTGCCAAGGGAACAGTCTGCTGGGAGGAGGACCAAGAGGAGCGGCAGGACCCAGGAACAAAATAGCGCAGAGAAAAACTGAGCCCAGGCCACACTCAAACTGCAGCCCTGCAGGCCACAGCCCTCTGGCAGCCATTTTCCTCCTCCTCAGATTGAAATCCGTGGCTTCAGCAAGCTCAGGAGAACGAAAGTCATCAAGACACATCATCACAGGAGGACCCCTCCCACCCTCTGCAGCCCTTCTGCGGCAGATGCTCACCCAGGTGCTGAGCCACCTCCAGAACCAGCCGGGGCCCCCC